CTAATGATGATGTCATTAAAATGCCATTACAACACTTATAGCTCTGTGTGTGTGTGTGTAGGCAGTGGCTTGAGGACGCCATGAAAGACAACGACAGGTCCAGTGTTTTACTTTTCCAGTGTCTTTTTTTAAGTTTTGATATTTGTAAGAATATACATTATATCGGTGCTTTGAATACCAAGAACCATCTTTATATAGTATTACATTTACTCTTTCACACTTGCGATCATGACCCTTGATTGTCTGACTGTGATGCATGGCCAGGCCAGTCACAAGTTAGAAAAACCCACCAGTGAATGCAAATGCCGATGGTCAGTCAGCGCCAAACATACGATCAAATTCAGCCCGAAATGATCTAGGAGAAAAAATATGCTGTATCCGCTCGACTCCATATTACCATCCTGGGGAAAGATGTGAATGATATATGGGCTTCTCGACATCCAATGATTGTGCAACGTTTCCTCAACATTCGTCGTGCAGCTTTAGTTCAGTGACAGAATGACTGTTTGGTGTTGTGTTGTTAATAAGGTAAAAAAAGAAATAGGCTGAGCAGTGGGTGCAGGTGGGCTGTGGTGGGAGCCATGGCTGAGGGTGTTGACTGCATACTAGTGACATCACTAAATGATGGAAGGCGTAACGGCACATTTTCAGACAGTTTATGACTGTGTGTATGAGTGTTTAGATACTTTGACTGTATTTATATAGCAACCGTGTTGTGATAACAAAAAGACATGGGACTCCTGTTTTCTATAATATTTGACTTTTATATAAATCACTTTAAAAACAAAATACGTTGAATGTGCTAATGTCATGTTAAGAGGACGTGTTTCAAAGTTGCAGTTATATGTTACATTTTATTTTAAATGAAGAGCAACATCCGGACCTCAGGCATTCAGAATTTAACAAAATCAGCATAACAGTTTGTATCTTAAAATCAACATCATGTCCCTGCCACCGGCTCGTGACTGTTATTTCATCCTCTTAAACGCCGGCTCAGTGTAAAGGCAGAGGGAAGCTGTGTTGATGTAGTGCACGGCTACACTGCATACCTCATTGTACTTTCATGACTTTTCCCATGTGGAAATGTTTGGATTCCCAGTGTTGCTCAGATGTCATACGTGCTGCTAAATGACTGTGATTGTGATAAATTGGGATGTTAGACAGGAATGACACATAGTCGGGATGGTAATGGTCTTGTGTGTGTGGAGCAATCTAAAATGTCTGGGGCGTAAATGCACATATTTAGGTCTGGAAAAATACAGGTATTTATTCAGGTGGGGGAACGTTTGCTCTGGTACACCCCCCTCCTCCATTTGGCCATCACTCCCTCACGGTAAACCAGGCTGTGGTGTGGTCAATTGATTACATTAACCCGTCGAACACAGCAAACCTGAATGATTCTTGTTAGCACTAATTTCTAAATGCTCAGGGAAATGGAGCGTTATTGAGCAGTGAGTGGCAGCGTTCACCCTGATGATACTGATAATTATTGATTCTCTTGATTCTGGTTCTTAAAGAGTCGTGTTATGAACGCTGGTGTTTTGTAGGCACTGTTAGTAGTTGCTGTTTGCATGTGGGTGTAGCAGCGCCCTGCAGCTGGGAAGCAGTGTTCTTACAAGCAGGGATTTAGTGGCAGTTGTATAAATGATGTCACCATGTGCAGATGGAGTGGTCTGGGTGTTTGGATGGCTGCAGCCTTGAGCCAGTGACTAAGGCAGGACTGCTGTCTATAGTTTAAGCTCAGCCCGGGCCTCATCCATGCATGTGATTTATTGATGTGGCCGTGAGTGTGGATAGGCCTGTTGGTCCACACACACTTTTGTGGTCACCGTGGGAGATTTTATCCACAGAGCTTCCACCGCTGTTGCAATTTAAATGCGATTCTCGTCATGCACATCTCATGTGGTTGTTATGACAAATATTATTCATTCATCATCCCCATCATCATCATTCACCCATTGTACTACATGAACTGTGTGCTGGTTTCAAAGTGCATCCAAAAACTCCCAAGATGCCTCTACTTTCAACTGCAGCTTGAATGCACAGTCACAGGCTCAGACTTTGTAGCCGCAGAAACAAGTAGAAACAAAAAGCGTCTGGAAAAACATTTGTTCTGAATTAGCACAGATGTGAAATGAATAAATGCGTGAAATTACTTTTAAGGACATAGAGCGTTTTTCTTTAGTGATCTCTTGTGGACGTGTTCTATAGTCCACACACTTTTTTGATAGTCACTCCTCCAATCCTGGTGCCACAGCCAGCCAAGAGATTTGTTAACAAAAGCTTATTTCAGTACAGAATTACTTGGGGGAACTTCTCTCTTGCAGGTATGGTGTATGGGTTTTAAAAAAGCTTTGTTTGTTACTAAATCATTCTAGGATGATCTGTTCCTTTAAAACGCACAAAGACAGAGGTCTGTGATAGAGTTCTTTTATTTCATATTGATAATCAACTGATCTTTCAACTTCAGTGGTAGTTAAAGGTTAAAAGGGGACTTAAGCCATCAGACTCTTTCTGTACAATATTACCTCTTAGCCTGCTTTGCATCTTTTTCTCCATAACGTTTTTTGTCCTCTTCTTCTGCATAATTTCATAAACAACGCATTCATGTCTATTTATTGAAGACTTTGTTAAACATGGTTTTAAAGTTACTTAACATAATGTTGACACTCCCCCCCCCCCCCAATTAGCATATATAAACATAAACTGAACGTTTATCACACTGTAATGTAGTTGTAAGTAGATAAAAGGAGTGTTTATGTGTAATCACATATTATTATGTATAATTACAGCAGTGTTATTCTATGTAATAAATCAGTCATTATATGTGTATACACCATGGTAGAGGTTACAATAAACACTGTAGTGTTGGTACATGAGTTGTTGTTATTTGTTGTTTGTATGATGTGTGTTGTTTTTGTCCTGTCAGGCCTGTTCCCGGGTCTCTGTCCTCACTGTTGCATCTACGAAACCGACAGAGACAGCCTCTGCCTGCCTCCATGCCTGGAACACTGCCAGACCCAACCATGCCTGGCTCCTCTGCTGTGCTGATGCCTGTGAGTACAACAATGGAGCGCACAGAGCACATGCACTCACGGGCGCACTCACACATGCAGAGGCAAATCTCATTCACTCGCGCCATACGTGACGACAGCGTACATTAAGACATCAGATGTAGGCTTGCAGTTCCTATCACCATTAAAATAACTTGCAACGGTAAATCAGGGAAGTCATATTTTTGTATAAATGAGGTATTCAGCAAAGATGAGGGTTAAGTGTAATACACTAAGCCAGAAAGATTTAGAGGAGCCACATTGGGAATCGGGGGAATGATAACAACCAGCGAAAGCTCCTCGTATCAGGATTCTAATGATACAACATATGTTCTCATTGTAACACAAGACAGCCCGTGTTTATGGTAAGGAAAAAAACTCCCATGTTTATTAAATTAAGAGCTAAGCGATTTTGGGGAAGATTGACGGTTCAGGAAAGGGGTGCAGGTTTGGGTGATATTTTTACACAAAACACACTTAGTGCAATTAAGGCTGTGTGTCAGATTCTAGGCCTGAGTCTCCACGGAGGACGAGAGGCGGGGGGGCTGAGGGTCAGGCATGAGGGGGGGGCTGGGGTGTGGAGCAGGGCTGTTCCCTATGGAAACCAGCACACCAGTTTAGAGTTCAGCAGCTGGGAGGCCACAGCAGCTCACACACACACGTATGCATGCAGACACTCACACAAAGGTTGCTTCTTCTTTCCTGCACATGCTGCTCTGTGAGCACTGCTCACATCATCGCCTGGCATCAGGCGACCTCTCACCCCTGTCAGCCTACCCAGCTGATTTCCTCACATTCAGGTCTGAGCTGTGACACAGGACCACACCGGCCAGGGTCAGTCAGGGGCAGGCAAGAAACACACAGATAAGCCCCCTTTAAACAGAGATCCCTCTATATTGCCATTTAGAAGACCCCCTCGTTATGCCACGTTTGCTTGTTTACCCTGAACCAAAGAAAGTGTGTGATTTTAGATAACAAGCTGGCGTGTCCACAATCAGAGGCGTGTGTTGGTGTCCTGTCCCGCCATGTCGGCTCTTACTTACTGACGTCGATCTGACTCTTACTCTTACTTCCTCCACTGTCTGTATAACTGCAAAACAACAATGCCCACGCCATTCCATGTCCATACCTTCTACACAGAACAGCAAGGCAGAACAAAGGCAGAACAAAGGCAGAACATTCCCGTGTTGAATGGGTTATGTTAAAGGGTCTGCAGACATTGAGTTGACAGATTCACCTTGATGACACATATTGAATCAGGAGGGGCTGAGGTTTGATGTGTTAGTTAGACTGACACTCAGCACACGATTATCAGAAACACACACACCCCTGTTGCACCGGCTTCCTGTGTTAAGTCCCTCCGCGTTGGCTTCCTGTTTTGGGTCAGCTCCAGTTATCATCACACAGAGCTGTGCACAGGGCAGCCTGTCATGTGAAATCAAGCTCTCATGCGTTCTCATCTCATCCCACATAGTCTCACCCTGTTTCAGCTACAGCTGTTTTTATAAAAGCTGTGACAGCATCTTGTTAAGCCCTGACAGTGATAAGACACACAGCAAATTATAGCTAAATGAGCCGTTGTAATTGATTCATCTTGTATAAAAAAGGTTTTGTGCTGTAGGAATAATACATCTACACTTCTGATGCATGAGTGTTCTCACGGTGCTGTGATCTTCAGATGGAGAGACAAATGTCCATGGGCTCCAATATGATGGGCATGCAAGGACCCGCCCACAGCAACTCCTGCTCTTCCACTCACATTCCCTCCATGCACTCAGAAGCCAAACTGGTGAGTATATACATGCGTTCACATGGAAATACACCTTTATGCACTAACACACACACACACACACACA